CCACCCGCACCACACCACGAAACACACCCAAGGCCATTCACCCCACCCCACCCCACCCCACCCCACCCCACCCCACCCCACCCCACCCCACCCCCCAAACCACCGAGGCACCCACCCGAGAAGATGAAGTCCACGCCGTGCTCGTACAGCAGCGCCTCCATGCTGTCCCGCATCTCGTCCCCCTCGCCCTGCGCCGCCAGCCAGCGAGCAGCCAAAAGTTGTGTACAAAAACATCACCAGGGGGACGCAGCCATGGCCAGCGGGCAGCAGGCGGCAGGCGGACAGCAGCCGAGCGCCGCTCGGGGGGCAGCACCAGGAGCCGCTTGCCTTGCCTAGCGGGGCGGCTGCTCCACCACCCACCCACAGAAAGCGCTTCACATCACACACACACACACACACACACACACACACACACACCTGGTGCGCGTAGTTGGAGTTGTACCAGGGCGCGTGCTGCACCGCCACCACCCAGGGCGTGCGGGAGCGGTCGACGGCGGCCAGGTCGCGCAGGAGCCAGGCGTACTGCGGGGAGGCCTGGTCGTAGGCTGCGGTACAGGTGCGGTACGGGTGCGGTACAGGGCGAAGGCACATGGGGAAGTACAGGGGGAGGTGCAAGCGAGAGGCAGGGCCGGAGACGGCAGCCAAGCCTGGCCGCACCCAGCCGGCTGGTGCTCCACACGCGAGCGCCCATCCAAGCCACCCCTCCACCAAGCACTCCCCGCGCTCAAATGGTCTCCACACAACCCGCCATCGCGGATCGGGAGCCAGCTCAACTCACCCACATAGGATCCCAGCATGACCACGTGCGCCCCCGCCACGTCATAGCTGTAGTACAGCTTGGTACCGCTGAGGGAGGGACGGTACGGGAAGAAGAACCTGCAGCGGGGCAGCGGCGGTGGGCATGCTCGTGGGAGTACGGTGGGCGACTCAGCAACCCGCCTCGGGTCTACCTTGCAGCCAAGCTTGCACTCTTACAACGTGGCAGGGCATGCCATCTCTAGCATCCGCACCACCAGAGCTCAGAAACACCACCACCAGCACCACCACCACAGCGATCGGCCCCCACCTGGTCAGGTAGGCGTCAAAGCCCTCCTTGCCGCCAGACAGCTCGATCTCGTGGTTGCCGACGCAGTACATCCAGACCTGGCGGGAGGTGAAGGGGGCCACCAGGCGCTGCCAGCTGTCCCTGCAGCGGCAGGGGTACAAGGGAGGGAGGAAAGGAGGGAGGGAGGGGGGGGGGGGGCCCCGGGGGGGGGGGGGGGGCGGGGGGGTTTTTTTGGGCCGGGGGGGGGGGGGGGCC